TGACTTCTATGGGGATCCGTCATTGAGATATCAACTATTCAGTTTTGACTAGTATGTATTCCACTAGTGACTAGTACTTAATTTTTATGCACTAGTAGTTATTCATTAGGTACTAGTACATCTTTTTTAGATACTAGTACTCATTCATTAGATACTAGTACCTATTAAATAGACACTAGTACTTATTCATCATGTACTAGTACTTATTAGATACTAGTACTTGTCCATTAGATACTAGTACTTATTTTTTAGATACTAGTACTTATTTATTTGACACGAGTACTTATTCATTATGTACTAGTGCTTATTTATTAGAAACTAGTACTCATTCATTAGATATTAGTACCTATTAAATAGATACTAGTACTTATTCAATAGATACTAGTACACATTTATTAGATACTAGTACTTATTCGAAATGTTACTAGTATAATTTTTTATTTTACTAGTACATTTTTTAATTGAACTCTACTGTAGCCATTTGGACTAGTCATACCGTAAGACAAGTAAAAAAGCAGATCTGATTAGTAAAATAAGAATCGTTACTAGTAGTAATTACAAAAGATACCAGTGTCTAATAAATAAGTACTAGTACCTAATGAAAAACTACTAGTATCTATTAAACAGGTACTAGTATCTAATGAATAAGTACCAGTATCTAACAAATAAGTACTAGTATCTAATGAATGCTTACTAGTAATATTTAAATAGATACTAGTCATAAAAACATTCACTGTCTGCAGCATCAGTGTGCCCTGTAAAAAATATTAATTTAAAAACATTAAATTTTTGTAGCCCCAGTGCTATATGCAAAAAAAGTTAACATACAGCCCTGGTATGATATTTATTGTTTTTACAGGAGGAAAAATTGGAAAGTAACAGACAATAAAATTGGTGTTTTATCTCCATCCTGCCACTAGAGGTCACTCGATGACCAACAAACACATTAGGCTACTATGTTTACGAAATTACAGTGTTTACAAAACTGACAAAAATATGTTTTCTATGTGCTTGTGTACAAATAATTGTTTCTTTTCTATGTGGTTTCCTCAAAAAAGTACATCCATCTTCTTGTTTCTGTTTCCTGTCTAATCTCTCTCCTATATGTGCCGGCTCATTAATATTCAACACACGATTACCATACCAGGCAGAAATGCTAATTTAAAAAGTACTAGTATCTATTAAGTTCAGGATATCTCTGGTCTAAAAAGTTACTAGTAACTAAAAAATAAGTACTAGTTCTATTTTTTCTTAACAAGAAGAGTATAATTAAACACTAGTCACTATTGGAATAAGTACTAGTATCTAATGATTAAGTACTAGCATCTAATGAATAAGTACTAGTAACTTTACAAAAGACACTAGTACCTAAAGAATAAGCACTAGTAGCTAAAGAATAAGCACTAGTAGCTAAAGAATAAGCACTAGTAGCTAAAGAATAAGCACTAGTAACTAAAGAATAAGCACTAGTACCTAATGAATAAGTACTAGTACTTAATGGAAAAGATACTAGTATCTAAAAAATAGAGACTAATACCATGAAAATAGATACTAGTACGGCTTACAGATTAAATGTTAAAACGGCTTGCCATACCCGGGTCAGTCATCCATTTAGCATGTGATCTCGATCAGCAATCAGCAGAAGCAAAGCGCAGCTATAGGTACTGTGCACAGACTCTTGTTTATATATTCATATTTAGCATACAGAACATAACTCCAAGTTTAATCCCCGATTTATGAATGTGTAAAAGTCTGACCAAACAATTAAAATGTTAATTATGCAAGAAAAACTTGTGCTTTGGTCATCTGAACAACTGATTTAGACTTTAATGAGTAGATTATGCACACATTTTAATAAAGCCAAATCAGTTTTGCAAGCGGCAACTTCCCGGTCTCTCTCATGAAACCAACACGGAAGTGACTAAAACTGCAATTCATCAACTGACCGCTTAGAGGCTTGGCTCCAAAAGGGAGTCCGTCCCATAACAGCTCACAGTCAGCTGCCTCACTCAGAAAGACGATAACGGTCATATTTTCAAATTTAGAAAGGTGCGAAAATTTCATTGGCCAGTTTCCTGGATGACAGCCAGATTAACCAATCATGACCAAAGCAATAAGGTAAAACGACATAGGAATAGTTTCAGCGTGGTAATGTAGCAAAATGCATTTAGTTTTATTGTTGTTCATGATAATATTTTAACATACCTTATAGATTTTAGAATAGGTTTCATGATCAATATGTAAAATACTAATAAAATAATATAATGATCTTAATTTAAAAGGCAGAAATGTCTTTTGTATGCGGTTGAAGACATTAAATTGATTCAACATACACATCTTGTTAAAAAATAAAATAAACGTTGATTTACGAGCATTTAACCTTTTTCAACCATTTAGCATCAGTTGTTTCAAGGTCGGTCATGTGCCAGCTGGGAGCACACAGACATACTGTTAAACCATGTTTTAATAGTAAAGGATGAACTAATATAGAAACATGCGTTTTATCATCTAGAAAAACCTACAAATTGTAGCTTTTTTTCAGAGCAACGGAGTCTAATGAGATTTACATGATTGTGTTAATGAAGTATTCTTATCATAATTTGTTGACAGGTTCTCAGGACAAATAAAGTTTCTATTTGATCAAGAATAAAGACGAAGTTTACCATTACCAACAGCAAGTACATTTTATTTCCGCTTGAATGTTAAAAAGCCCCAAACTGCACTCGTCACAAGCAGGTTTTTTCTGTGACTTTAAGGAAGTTTATCCATGGCTGGCTCCAGACTGTAATTTTGCACTGAATGACCTTGACGGAAAAGATTTTTAAAAAAGGGTCAATCTCTTTTAACATGGAAATCGAGAAATGTGAACAGATAATCACAATATTGTAAAGTAGACACCGTGTGTCTTACCCGTGCAACTTTGGGATCCTTATAAATGGCACACAGGGTCTCAACTCCACGCTTTTTGCAGTTGGTTCTGCCCAACTTCACAGTGAAGATGTAGTTCATGCCAGCGACAACCAGGAGTTTCAATCAGAAACATGTTCAGACATAGTAGGGCCAACCCGGAGTACAAAAAAAACCTGTATGGGGACCACATTTTATTTTATTATTTTTTTTAAATAATTCAAGTTAAGGTCAGCCACCACTGTTACGAAGTCATCCTGAAGAAAACTGGCGCTCTCTATCTTTCCAAGTTTCTATATTTATTGAACAGGTCTAGCAAATCACCTGAACAATCCTTTACTCTTACCTTATATAAAATGATTATGTAGCATATAATATAAATAGCTTTCAAGTTGAGGCAAACGGTTCTGTTGTTCTCTTTGTACAACTGGGATCAATTTTATGGTTCTGAGATTTCACACAATTCTGAACAAATCTTTACATGTCATCATTGAGTCATCATGACAGCGTTCTAGGAGGAACTTTATCACTGGGTTTGATTCAGCGACGTTCCCAGTTTAAACGATTACAAACCGAATAAACGTTTAAAGTACCGGTACTTACTTGTCGTTGGACCTTGATGACCTTGGAAACCTTACGCACAAACGCATCGTTGCTTTGTCTGTTGTACTGGGCCACTGCGAACCGTAACGCCTTCTGAATATCTTCATCGTTAATGTTTGCATCTACAGGGCCTCCAGGAATCCCAGCGCTCGCCACGGCCAAAGTCACGACCAAAAACTACACAATCATCTTACAATACATGCTTGAATGGGATTAGTTGTCTTGATTCTTCCTTGTTATAACGACAAGCAAACTGCAAACAATTCTGTTCACTGAGATATATATATATATATATACCTGCGTGTAGGGGCGGGGCGTTGTACCTCTACCAATCAGATTCAGGGAGAGGCAATGGGTTTGGAAAA